TGTATTTTAGTCATTTCTGGTTTAAATTGAGATCCCTTCCCTTTATAACTCACTTATCCTCCGCCATTCCCAAGTCAAGAGTCGTATAGAGTGACCCAACAGCATATCTTGAAAACTAGAGCCAATCAACAATTGTAAGCATCATTTTTGTTCTCAGTGACCCAGAATTAGTAAAGTTTGACTACATTTATTTCAGAAGCATTTTGGCTGTAGAGCAGTGATATTAATGTAAGTTATTTTCTAGCAAGTTTTTCTGCTTCTTTGCTGCTCTTCAAGCCTGTGCCATCCCTCGGGCCACAGTTGCATCATGTGTTCTGTAGACTGCCTCCTTGAGGAAGGGTTGGTTTAACATTCTCCTTGTTAAAAGACAAACACTAGGCTGAAGGCATGAGACTCGGCGGGCCTGACTCACCATTGGCTTGCACCTTACGCTGTCACTTTCACCAGTGCCAAACGCTACCAGACGGGGAGCATTTCACACCCATTTGCACTGGATAAGGAGCAAGGCAATGGGGAGGTAGGTACAGCATGTTTGAAGAGGTGACAAGCTCTGCAATGGTAGCCTCCATGTCAGCACCCTGCTTCTAGCGCACTGCTGCTGGGAGATGCCCACAGCTGCTAAGAATTAAGTCCTAGCTGAAAGAAAAGCTTGGGCCTTTTGGAGCCTCTTCGTGGAGATGAGCCCAGCATTACAGCAGTGGGGAGGCTGTGTGGTCCGGTCATGGGCCACAGCAATCAGGCTCAGGGCTTGTTGAAAGGAACATGAAGGTCATGCCTACACTTCAGCAGCTACAGCTACAGCATGGCAGCTGTGCCACTGTAGCGTAGAAGCTTCCTATGTCGACAGAAGCTTTTACGTCGATGTAGTTAAGCCACCTTTCTGAGAGGCAGTAGCTAGGTCAACGGAAGGATTTGCGGAGTGCAAAATTTTTCACAGCCCTGAGTGCTTTAGTCAGGTCTATCTAATTTTTAGGTTTAGACCAGGCCCAAGTTCGCAGCAAGTCAGAGTGTGAATCTACCTCGCCCTAGCCTGCTGTGCACAAACTCCATAGCCCATTTTGATCTCCCTTGCATGGAAACAGGATGAATCAGAGCTCTCTGTGGAACAGTTGGTCCACAGGGGTGCTCAGTGCATGGTGGACTATTGCAAGGGAGATTGACACCAGGTTTGTTGCGAAGTTGGTTTTTGTAGACAAGAACAACAGTAAAGGTCTGTTCTTGAGACCAGTTTCCATCCTGTGTCCAGACAGCGTCTCATGCACTGGTCCCAGCCTGCTGGGGTGATCCAGCAGAAATAGCCCTACATCTCTGGACCAGCGGAGCACAGGCCTTGGGCTGGCCCTCTACACAAGGCCAAGTTTCAGTCATCTTGTCAGTGCAAGGCCCTTTCCACAATGGCCCAGCCCATTCCGGTCATCAAACAGGAGCATCCAAAGCCACGGCCTCCAGCTGGGAGAAGACTAAGCCCAGAATGGAGTGGTTTCTCACCAGACAGATGGTAGGAGAGACTTTCCTCACCTCACCAGAGACCCTGGAGCTCCTTGGGCCCAGTGCAAGGAAAGCACTTGACACTAGATAACGCAGACACCCACAAGCACTGGAGGCCTTTGGGGCCTAGATGTCACCCATCCAGTTCTCAGTCAGTCCCTGACAGACACCAGCCATGATAGCGCCGTGAATGAGGTGCACGATGGGGAGGAATGTTCTTTCTGATGCATCCCAGCCATGGCTTCCTGCAGATGCAGGGGGAGCTCCCAGCATCAAGCAGTGACCAGAGAGGTTCTAACCCTGAATTCTCCTCTCCCCAGCTCATCCCACAGACCCAGCTCTGGGCTCGCTCCTCCTCCAGGACTGGCTCCAAGGACGGCATGATGGACCCCCACAAGGCTTCCACAGGGTGAGGAGGCCTGCTCTAAACACCCCCCGTCCCTCCCCAGCGAGGAGCTGTAGGGCTTGGTTTGCATGGAGACTTTGCATGGCAGGAATGGTGTCCCTAGCCTCTGTTTGCCAGAAGCTGGGAATGGGTGACAGGGGATGGATCTAGGGTGACCAGACGTCCCGATTTTATCGGGACTGTCCCGATATTTCCTTGTTTGTCCCGCGTCCCGACCG